TGGCGCTGGAAGAGGCAAAGGAGAAGAGTTAGAGCTGGGAACAGCCTAAATTGAGGGGGGTTTAACGAGTTGAGCGGGGTTTAACAAAGCTCGAGCGGAGCTCCCCCGCTCCCCAGCATGTTTCCACATGCAAAATCCAAAGTTTTGGGGTTTCTGGCTTTCCCGTGCTTGGGCAGGCAGGTGACATCAACCCGTATTTGAGCTCTTCTGCGATCTGGTGGGGGGGGTAACGGCGCTGCCTAATTAAGAACTTAATTAAGGCACAGGGAGCACCCTGGGAACCGGCGGCCGCTGAGGACGAGGAGAGGGCGATGCTGCGCTCAAGCCCAGCCCAGGCGGCCGCTCCGCTGGGTGTCAACCCGTGCCACGCCTTCTTTAATTAGCGGTTCATTAGGGGTTAATTATTAAGCAACGGAACTTGATGCTGCGCAAATCTCACTTCCATTTATCAGTAAATCGATTCACTGTCCAGGGCCCACGCACAGCGATTACGTTCCCTCCCCCCCTGTTAGTTTAAATTAATTTCTTTCTCAATTTGAATTAAATCTGGGGTGTAGACAAGCCTTAATTAGCACTAACTGATTACCACAGGTTGGTTAATTAAGAGAAGAGGTCGCGGCAGGGTCTCCCGGCTGCTTGCAGAGGTGAAAGCAGCCAGTGAGCACCCCCCGGGCGCTGCCCATCGAGGGTTTAACAGAGCCAGACTTACCCCCAGCGTTCCTCACCGGGCGGAAATGAACCCTAAAGGGTTTTCCTGCTCCCACAGCATCACGGCAGGCTTAAAATGAATAAAATCGGGATAAAGTACCCCAAAAGAGAGCAACAAGGCTCTGGCAGTGCCCGGCCGCTTCCTGTGGGAGCGGGAAGCTCGTGGGTCTTGGAGCAAGCCCTGGATTGAGAGCTGGGGGATGTGACGAGGCGGTGACTTCTGGTGCCACCAGCATTTTCCTCGGAGATTTTTAAACCATGAGAGAGAATTATTTAATCCTCTGAGCTCCCGTGTTATGAACCCACCGGGTTTAAATAAACAGGTCTAGGCCTACACTCGGGCTTAGCTGCAGCTAAAGGAAAGGCTCGGGAGAGTATAAAAATCACAGAATCTCAGAATCATCCGGGTTGGAAAAGCCCCTGAAGCTCCTCCAGCCCAAGCATGAACCTCGCCCTGACCCTTCCCAACTCCCCCAGATCCCTCAGCGCTGGCTCAGCCCGACTCTTCAACCCCCCCAGGGATGGGGACTCCCCCCTGCCCTGGGCAGCCCATTCCAACGCCCAACAGCCCCTTCTGCACAGAAATCCTTCCTCAGAGCCAGCCTGACCCTGCCCTGGGCAGCTTGAGGCCATTCCCTCGGGGCCTGGCGCTGGGGCCTTGGCTCCAGAGACTCACCCCCCCTCTCTGCCCCCTCCTGGCAGGGAGTTGCCGAGGGCCAGGAGGTCTCCCCTCAGCCTCCTCTTCTCCAGACTGAACCCCCCCAGTTCCCCCAGCCGCTCCCCAGCAGACCTGTGCTCCAGACCCTGCCCCAGCTCCGTTGCCCTTCTCTGGCCACGCTCGAGTCATTCAATGGCCTTTTTGGGGTGAGGGGCCCAGAACTGAACCCCCTCAGCGAGGGGCGGCCTCACCATCAAGATCCTGCTATCTCGAGCAGAGCCTGGCTCTGGGGTGCTGTGGTGTTTCTGATCTCTGGCCCTTCTCTCATTCAGACCTGGCTGTGTCTCATTGCCCTGGGCGTCTCCTTCCTGGCCTGCGGGAAAACGGTAAGCGTCACCCGGACACTGCTCACCGAGGAGTCGCCTTCTCACCCCGCTAAGTAGCCGCGGTGTCCCTACACAGGGAGTAGCCACCAGAGCCAGTGCGTGTCTGTGGGTTACTGTGTGAACAGAGACAGACGTATGTGCACTTTGCATGGGAAACACGCGTGTTCAAGGAAGAAAAATCCGATGTACATATTGGGAAGCGCGTTGCTGCTGAAATACTTAAACAGTTGGATGTTTTCTTTGCTGAGCGCCTCTAATCACGCTTGTAAGGATGAGCCTTGGGTCAGTCGTGAAACACAGGAGCTGCCTGTTTCCAGACACTAAACAGTTTTGAGGTGCAGAGGGCACAGGCTGCGCCGCGTGCTGATTCCTCCTCCCGCCTCACCTTTGCCTCCAGCCTCTTGGCTCTTTTTCCATTAATACTGGCAGACTCTTCCCCCCTTAATGTTTTAATCCGTGTAGCAGAAACACTGAAGCTCCAGGTAACTGTTGCTTCTGCACTGAACTGGAGAAAAATAAGCTGAGAAATTCAAAATGCACCTTTTGGGCGATGCTTGAAGGACGCTCCTGCCGCTGACACTAGGCCAGGTGTGACGCGGTGACACTACACCCGGAGTCTACCTCTGCGGGCAGGTGGCAGCTGGATTTGACTGGATTTGATTTTAATTTTTTTTCACTTGAAAATATTTCTAATTGAGAGCGGGGCTGGCTGCGATGTGCAGCTTCCCTGGGGCGGAATGACATAAGGGTGGGGAACCTCAGCATTAGTATTGGGGTTGGGTTTTGTTTGTTTGTTTTTTTTTTACCTCAGCATTAGTATTGGGGCTGGTTTTTGTTTTTTTTTTTTTACCTCAGCATTAGTATTGGGGTGTGATTTTTGGTGGTCAGCAAAGGAAACATGTTGCAATATTCCTGGTTATTTATGGTCTTTATTCCCTGTATGTGATCAGTGGAAACGCTCTTTGTAGTTCTCAACTCCCCCCTGTTCTGTGGCTCAGAATCTCACAGTGCAGAGGATGCCAACAGCCTCCTGCAGGGGGGTCATCGCTGTGACACAACTTCAGGTTTTGATTTGCCAATCCTGCTTGGCCCTGCTTCTCCTTCACTACAAAACCTTTCCCATCGCCCTTCTCGTTAGCATTTAATGAGGATCTTGGTTCTTTGTGGGAGAAGCCTTCACTCGGAAGGCGACCTAAGCCCCGTGGTAGGGAGTGACAAGAGAGGGAATGGGGGGAAATGGTACATTTTGCTTCTGCGGTTAGCAAAGGTTGTTTGTGGCTTCTCCCAGCGTGGGGTGAGCGTTGAGGTTACGTCCCGCGTGGTGGGGTGGGTTTAGGTGTCGTCATCATGAAAAGCGGGGCTCAGAAGCTCTAAACCAGGGGTTTATTTCGTGGGGTTTCCCTTCCCGGCCCAGCTGGACGCTGTGGCTGGCTGGCAGGGTTGGAGCCCAGCTCCACAAAGATTTTTTTTTAGGGACTGAAAAGCTTTTATGGATCTGAAAGACCGAGAGCGGGGGGATTTGGTGTGACACAACCAACCTCTGCCAGTCCTGGCCGGTGGGTGCCTGCAGCGAGGGCTCAGGACCAGGCTCTGCCGGTGCCAGGTTGGGCTTTGCCAGGCTCTGCTGCTCCCGCTGCTGCTGCTTTGCCCCCTTCCCCTCCAGAGCGGGGGTTTGTTTCGGAGAGTTTGGTCGTGAACAGGTCGGGCTCCAGCCCCCATCATTATCGAGGCTTTCTCAGGAAACTCATCGCCTTCCTCCGCGTTTCTCCTCTTCCCTCTAGTCCCAGGCAGGGAACTGCTCCCTGAAACAAACCCCCCGCAGCCTTCAAAGCCTCGGAGACGTTTGGGGGTTGTGTCGAACTGTGGTTTCTTTTCTGGTACGAACAAGCAGGAGCAGCAGGGTCCAGGGCCACGCACTCCCCATCGGAGCTCTCAGGAGCATTTTAGCCGCCACTGCCCGAGTTTTGGGGGGATTTCATGATGCCAGTGATCCAGCTCTTAGACATAAGTGACAAACCTCAAAACACGGCACGAAAACTCCATTTTAATTCTGGGCAGGATCGTTTAGGCTTTTTCCTGCTTTTTACCATACCAGCTGAACTTTCCTAGTTTCCCCCATCGAGCATGAAAACACAGTGGATTTCTAGTTTTCAAATTATTAATTCAGAAATTCCAGCGGGATTTAACTCCCGTATTGTAACATTTGCAGGTTTTATCCCTATTTCCACAAACAAAAAGCCCAGCGTGTGCTTTACAAGTGGGAATTGGGGGTTGTTGGACCGGAGGCGTATCTGTGGCCGCCCAGCCTCGGCCCAGGGGCTCTGTAATCTGTATCCATCCCTCTAATTTTCCTGGATTGGGGATTTTTTGATTTGGAAGTGTCAGAGGAGATTCTCCTGGCTGCTCTGCTGAAATAATAACTTTAAGACAGTAGCTCTGCGCCGGAGCCTCTGGATATGAAGTTCTCACTCTTGACTTCTGTTCCTCGTTAAACTAATTTTATATATATCCCCCCCCCCCGGTATCTGCCTTTGAACCAGTTTGTACAAACTACCTTTTCGATTAAAAGACAGATACTTTTTCAACTTGGCTTCTTGGGTCTGGTTATTTTTCTTTTTGGGGGGGGGGTTGCTCTGAATCCCTGATGCTACCCAGCTCTAACGGAGACCCCCGACAGCGCCGGTGCCCGCAGGCTGCCGGGACGAGCCCCCGGGGGGGGTGTGCGGCGCTTTCCCCGACCCCGCGGGGTCCAAACCCTCCAGTCTCCGTTTTTAGTTGCTCCTGGTTTCCCCGTGAGCTCCGCGGGGACCATCTCCACCACCGGGAGAGTGAAGGAGGAGGTTGTGCCTGCTGGGGTTTCTTTGGTGGGATCCAGGACACGGCGCCCGCATCCTGCCCTGCGCTTTAGCGGCTTCTGTCTGCTCCTCGGCCAAACTATCCGCTGCGCTGAAAAAAATAAAAATGTATTGATTTTGGGTGGGAGTGTTGGTCTGCTCGAGGGTGGGGAGGCTCTGCAGAGAGACCTGGGCAGGCTGGAGCGCTGGGCTGAGCCCAACTGGGGGAGTTTCACTGAGGGCAAATGCCGGGGGCTGCCCTTGGGCCACAACAACCCCCAGCAGGGCTACAGGCCTGGGGAGGAGTGGGTGGAGAGCTGCCGGTCAGAGAGGGACTGGGGGGGGGG